CGAACTGTACACTTTAAGTGAGTAGACTGTATGGTATATGAATTATATCCTGATAAAGCTGTTATAGAAAAAAGGGAAAGTTCTGAGATACAAGAATGTTAGGCAGTGATATGGGCAAACATGGATAAATCTGAACAAAGATCCGTATAAAGTAATACGAATTATGGGACTTTAAAAAAATAACAAGACAAATAATACCAGACAATAACTGCATGGAAAATGGGAGAGGCAAGTGGAATTAGAGTGTCCCAAGTCCCTATATTGTGTGGGGGTTGGTGGTGTTAATAAATGATAACTTTAGACTTTAAATATGCAGGGTCAAATTGGACAAAAAGCCACTAAAAGGAGAGAAACAAGGTGTAACTTCCAAACCAGTAGGGCAAAAAACAGAATTAAAAACCAACAAGCAGAGTGCACAAAGGTCAGCGAACAATGGGCTGGGGGCCAAATCAAGCCCAGCACCCTGTTTCTGTAAGTAAAGCTTTACTGGGACCCAGCCCCACTCTGCACATTGTTTGTGGCTGCTTGTCTGAACTACACTGGCAGAGCTGTAGCTGCAGTGGAGACCAGATGGCCCACAAAGCCTGAAACATTTACTGCCTGGCCCTTTACAGAGTCTACTGACCCCTGTTACAGCACAGACAACGAAAGCAAGAATTACTGTGGGCTGCAGTTTCCTGGGCATTGAAATGAAGGCAATATCCCTTCCTCTCTTCAGAGATACAAGGTTCAATTAGATAAACACTATAAGTCAAAGAACTTTTTTTTTTTTTTGTCTTTTTCCGTGTCCGGCATCGGATCGCAACCCTCAGTGTTGCCCCTGTACCGGACCGGGGACCGGCAACGGGATTGCAACCCTCGGTGTTGCTCCCACGCCTCGCTCAGCCAGTGAGCGGGAACCGGTCTGTATGTGGGATCCGAACCCTCGGGCGGGAGCGCCGCCGCGCTTCCCAAGCGGCGCACTTATCCAGTGCGCCACCTGGCCGGCCCCAAGTCAAAGAACTTTTGCATGGTAATGTCCTCAACCCCCTCCCCAGCTTCAGCTTCCCAACCACCCTCTTCAGATTTAGCTACCAGAACCTAACTCCCTAAACGAGAAAAAGAGCAGACCCTCATATCCAACATGCAAGACCTCAAGCCATATGCACACAATTTCCCCCAATAGTAACATCTTACAACACTACCATACTGAGGACAGTAACATTGATACAATCCACAATCTTGTTCATATCTCCCAGGTTTTTCACGTGCGCGGGTGTGTGTGTGTGTGTGTGTGTGTGTGTGATTTATCACATGTAAGTTCATGCGTCCACCACCGCTTCCATCACCACAAGCGTCCCTCCGTTTTGCCCTTTCATAACCACACCCACTCCTCTTCTCCTCCCTGACCCCCAGCAACTGCTAATCTTTGTCATTTCAAGAATGTTATAAACACAGAACCATAGTGTGTATCCTTTGGGAATTGGCTTTTGTCACTCAGCAAAGTTCCCTGGCGATCCATCCAGGCTGCTGAGTGGCGATCCCTGGTGTGCATGCACCACGGTCTGTCTAACCTGTTGGTCACTTATTGAAGGACACTCAGCAGCCTAGCAAAGCCTATGGACCTCTCTCAGAATAACATTTTTAAATGCACAAAATAAAATATAGAGGGTGACAATGTAAAATACTGGAATATTTTAAAAAACAAATATATTCCATAGTAAAACATAACATCTCAGGCAGTGATGAATGTAACCATATCTCAAGGTGTCTGCATGAGGGCCGGCCCAGTGGCTCACTCGGGAGAGTGCGGCGCTGGGAGCGCCAAGGCCATGGGTTCAGATCCTATATGGGGATGGCCAGTGCACTCACTCGTTAAGCATGGTGTGGGCAACACCGTGCGGAGGGTTGCGGTCCCCTTACCGGTCAAAAAAAAAAGGTGTTTGCATGAGATGGAGGGTCTGATTTCTCTTAGTGGCAAAGTCCCGGGTCCTGCTGACCCCACAGGGTGGTTGCCACATTCATAATGGAGGGAATGCCAAATTTCAGGTAGAGGTTAGTGAAAATAAAGACGTAATTTTTTTCTTCTCCGAGTTCACATAGCCCTGAATTCTCTGAATTTCGCAGAATCAGAAAGTACAGGACCAGGCCTCCTCCCTAAGAGATTCTCCCAGGCTGCCCCTTGGGCTCAGTTCTTGGGGAAGAAAGCTGCCCACACACAGCCATGGTGGGGCAGAGGCACCAGTGGGGTCTGGGACCCCTACTGAGGGCCTTTAAGGAAGGGATAATGTAGGCTGGCAGTCCCTGTGGCCTGATTCTTGTCGAGGTGCACATGCCCTACCCTAAGACCTGGGTGGGCTGGGGCAGAACCAAACCACAGGAAATCCTCCTTCAAAGCTAAATGTCCCATCACCTGGTCTGGTCCATCTGGGGGAAGCTTCAGACACTCTTCTTTTAAGATCCCAAGTTTCCACATCAGGGGTGGGAGGTGGGAAAACCCCAAGTTAGTGCCAAAAGTCTAAGGAGAACACAGTGTACTCTGGATGGGTCTGCCCACCTTTGTTAATGCGAAGGCCACCGTCCCATCATCCTCAGTGGAAAGATCAAGCAGCTTCTGGTAAAACGTTTCATCATAAGGTCCGTCTATTTGTAACCTTTTTCTGAAGGAGAAAGTACAATAAAAACAGAATGACAAAGTCGCTTGGATATTGTTTCTTAAACTGCTACAGCAAGTAGCAGCCCTTAGCAAATTTAATAATCACACATTTTGTTTTAAAGAACACCTAATAAATCTTAGGCTTCCTCATATTAAACTTGGTTCTGAAGCATCCAGGTTTTAAAGAGAACCTAGCAAGACCTAAGCCAGGAAGCCCTGATGACGAGCCCTCTCCTGTTCAAGACCAGAGTGGAGACACAAGTCAATGCTAGTGAGGAAAGAAGAGGATCCTGGCTCCTGCCAGACGCCAGGGTGTGGGTCCCAGTGTACGCCCAGGGACAGAGGCTCGGTGGACATGGAAGCTCAGGATCTGTGGGGCAACACTGCCCTCTGCAGGCTTGGTCCTGACTCAGGATTCTGGAACTATCAGGTTCACAGACGTGCTTTCTTTTCTAAAAATGGTAAGTGACCACTCTTCTCATTCAGACCCTGGGACTCCCTCACAAGGCACAGAACTTTTTTTTTTTTTTTAAGGTTTCCATCCTTTAATTTTTTAAACATAATATACAGAACCACAATACTACAGCATTTCAGTTTCAAACTGTGGGAGATTACATTCAAACATGCTTGGATTTGACAAGTTACTTTTACAATACTGAGAAATTTCATGAAAAAGGTATTTAATGATTTTTAAGATAATCAAATTTTTTTGCTACATGGGCCAATGCATTAATAGTGACCTGTTTAAAAATGTAGTCTTTTGGACTTCAGATTATTATAAAAGAATATCAAGATTATACAGACATACTCTCTACATACTTTTCACAAACTCATTTCATTTTGAAGGCTAAAGGTAAATGTTACACATTAGAACATTTCATGAGACCATCACTCTTTGTACTTTGAAAAAGTCAAAAATGAAATCACAACGTCCTAAAGACATCACTATTTCTAGAATACGTTGATATAATCATAAAGGCTACTAGAACTATATTATCACTTTTACATCAACACTTTTCAAGGCACAGAATTCTTGAGCCAGGCCCTGGGGACAGGGGGCGAGGGGCTGACAGAAGCCAGGCACTGGGAGGCTTGTTCTGTCCTCGAGTTGGGGCAATCCTGGACCCCAACCACCCCACAGACTCCTCTCAGGGCTTCCCAAAAGGGGGACGACCGTGCCAGCCTCACCTCTCCTCGGGAAACTCCTCCAGGTACTGCTCAACCCGGTTGTACAGAGGGTAGAGGCCTTCGATGTCCAGCAGGTCCAACATCTGCACCTGGAGGGTTTTGTACAGAAGACAGCCCTTCGGTAACCCCGAGCACTCTGGGGTGTTTTTTCCTACCAAGAACATCAGGGGAAAACGAGAGCAGGTTTATTGTCAAAGACTGAAAAACGTGGAGGGAAACACAGGCCAGCGTAGACCGCAGGGCTCCCCCTGGGCTGGACCCCGCCTGGCACTAAGGGCAGACAGCAAGCCTGCCTTGCAGAACTGATGGGGCTGGAAGGAGCGCGGACATGTTGGGCTGCCCAGGCCATGCACAGATGAAAGAACAAGAAACGCTGGCATCCTCTTCAGAACCTCCTTTATAGTCCACCTCACAAGCCCAAGAAATCACTTTATGATTCCAATTTAGAGAGATAATCCTCATTCTGAATAAGACAAGGCACAGAACTGCAAAGGATCACGTTGACATCCCTAAATCTACAAGACCACTAAAGGAGGACTCGCCGTCTATACTATAGAGTCCAGAACCATGAGCCCATGTTGAGAAGCCAGCCTCTGGGCTGGCCACAGGCACGTGCTGAGAACTGGCCATGCAGGGCCATGGGCTGTGGTCAAAGCCACCAACGAGGACCTGAAGCAAAACTGACCCCTGCTGTGTACAAGGTACCATGCAAGGTAGGAGACACCAAGTCCCAGACCATCTCCTACCCCTGAAGGGAGCAACCACCTCCCATAAAGAACCAAACTACAGGTGAAGATGGGGCAAGGGATGTGTCCATGCTGGGAAGTGGCTGCAGACTTTGCGCAGGACGAGCCTGGCCACAGGAGCCAAGGGGAAAATGGGAGTAAAAGCTCACATACCCAACTAGAGGGGATTTGATAAAACTACAGGACATCTATGCGGTGTAATCTACTGCACTGCCAATAAAAGTTCCAAAAATACATTTGCTGATGTAGATACAAAGTTATGCTAATTAAGCAAAAAAAGTCAGGTTACAAAATAACATGTAGAATATGATCTTATTGTTTTAAAAACTGCACAACCCAAGGGCTATGCTTGTTTCTGCATGTGTGTCCGAGAAGTTGTCTCCTCATGGTGTCCCCAGCCCACCTCACAATGCAGCCATCTGTGTGTCCTTCCAAACATATTTTGCTTCCTTAAAAGCAGGCACATGCTCAGGTTATGGGCATAACTTTAAGAAAATTTTCTGAGATGATCAGTAATCACTTATCTAACAAGAAAAATAAAAACCACAAAATTCATTTGTGGTAAGAAAAAATTGCCACGGGGTGCCAAGAGGAAGGCAGAGCCCAGGGCACGGGTGGCTTCTGTTTGCACAAGGAACAGGGCTGCTGTCTCCAAACTGCCCTCCGGCTCCCAGAGTCACGAGATGTCACGACCCCCAGCTCCTGTCTGTGAGGAAGGCGTCCCACCGTGGCCACACTCAGCCCTGAGAAACACGCACAGGGAAACCTGCTCCCTGCGTTGCGCTGAGGACCAAAGGGAATAACATGACTGAAATGCTCTGCAAAGCACGCAAAGCAAGCGCGTTCTCGGCAAAACTGCGGCCCAAAGGTGTCCCGCCATTCGCAAGCCCAGTTGAGGGAGAGAAAGGAAAGCGCCCCGCGAGGCCAGGC